TAGTGTTCTCCAAGGCATACATAGGCAAATCAAACTGATGCAAAATAGATAATAATAAAATTAAAGTTTTTTTTATTTTTTAAGAAAAGAGTTATTCTTCAAAGTTTTATTTACTATGTAAACACATCCAACTCCCAACTTCCAATTAATAATAGCAAGAAAAAAAAAATCTTTAATAGTTTTCCGAGCACATTTGTTTCAACAGCTGAGAATGAAAATGACTCAAATTACTTTGGATTAATTTAATTTAAACTCATTAAGGTACTTGTTAGGGGTTCACAAATGTTTTTGTCAAAATGAGCCACGTTCCTTTGAAGTTTCACACTTGCAAAACGGATTCTCATTCATTCATGTTTTTGATTTTCTAAAAATAAAAAATACTTAGTCTAAGGGACAAATTGTCAAGTTTTTTTTTTTTTGCCCAATTTTTCTAACTATATATATATATATATATATATATATATATATATATATATATATATAAATAAACAAAATAAACTCAAACTCAACATGATTTGTAAAAATCATTCTGAGGACAAAGTTAATAAATAAAGCTGACATTGCATAAACAGTTGTTATTGTGAGAAGTTACTTTGCATAATTAGCTTTTCTGATCCATCACTGGTCAGTGGCAGGGATTTACCATTACTTATTTCAACAAAACATCTTCTGTGTTCCAACTCGTAAGAGTGGTAAACGGCATTCATGTCAGTCGAGCCTCTAATTTATTGAGCGTCACACGTGGAAACCAACACCAGTTACCGTCTCTGACAGGAGGAACTTCACTGAGAAGACGGATGACGAGAGCAGGACACGTGTCACATACGAACAAGTCCCGATGGAGCAGTGATGGCTTCCTGTAGTCTCACAGGAAGCACTAAACATGTGTTCTTCTAAAGAGGATCTAGTGTTTTCTGTCCTTTTTAAAAAAAATTTTTTATTTATTTAAGCAGTTAATTTCTTAAAATTGTAAACTTGAGAGTGGGCCTAAACACAACTGCTGGGAACTGATGCACATTTCTTAATCTGTTGTTAGCCATACGCTGTGAACACGTTGTATAGTTTTAAGTGTTTACATGGGGGAAATGTTGCTGTAACATCAAAAAGTAAAATAAGAATAAAGCAAATTGGAAGACTCGATTAAGAAGCAGGTCACCGAGTTATATCAATGAATATACTTTAAGTATAATATTTGTGATAAAATGCATATCAGAATTAAATGTAATGAGACATGTAAATAGAAATGAACAAATAGGTGCATAAATATTCACTCAAATGCCCAATAACTCATAAAGGATTTTATTGCCCACTAAACAGCAGAATATGACATACTGCACCTGAATTTACTGAGAATGTTCAATATCATATTAGTAATGTTTTCATTGTAAATCCATCCTTTAACTCTTTGGAGAAGAAACAAGTGTTTTATTTGGGAACTTGTGCTGAAATTCCCAAATAGTTTGGGGATTTTCCTGAAAAGGAGATGCAATAGTCTAAAAGTCTAAAGATGATCTGAACTGGAAATGTTTTTATAAAAGGTTTCCCGTTTTATGCAATTTTCCAAAATCGCATGCTTTCGCAGCCAAATTCAGCTTGTTGTTTGTTTCCAGTGACTCTCTAACAAGGTGATAGAGGAATCTGAACTGTATTTTAAGTTACAGAAACACCAAATATCTCAAAGGACCTCAAGCTATTCAAACAGTCACAAAACATCTCGTATTTGCTCCCGGAGAGCATGTTCTGTCCCGATTTCCAAAACAGCGTAAACTCTTCAAAGAAGCTTTATTTCCAGATGACAAGGCAGCAGTGTGGTCTGTTCGTCAAAGCACAAGGGATTCATTTGGTCTTGGCTTGTCCATAAATAAGTTATGCTGCTGCTTTGTGTGCTTCCAGATCTGAATGGAGGACCCAGACTTTTCTTTTTCCCCCTTGCAGCCCACCATGGAGGTCCAGAACAACTGACTCCAGCCACTTTACGTGCCTAATTTATACCCCTCCCTTCCTCTTTAAAAAAAGGTCAGAGTTGCTCTGATGGGTGAGTGAAGGGGTGTGGAGTATGTGGGATTGGGATCAGGTGTGGTGGAGTTCCTGCAGCAGTGAAACCCTGACGGGTCAGCCCGAGCGTTCACAGGAAAAGCTGCTAAAACATTTGCTGATGGGGGGGCGATGCGGGGGGGGGGGGGGGGGGGGAAAAACTGGGGGGGGGGTTTGGGGGAGGCGCANTGTTTTTGGTTGGGAGTGATGAATTTCTTCAGATGGAAATAGTAGCTCAGGGGGAGTGGAGGAGTTTATTTTCACAAATTATACATAACATAAAATCATGACATGGTGACTTTATTTTAACAAATATGTAAAAATTAGTGTATGTTTTTATTATCTCAAGAAGTATTTGTGTACTTGTGTATGTTAGGGATGCACCAATAAATCTTCCCCAAATCCTTAATTTTGAAGATTGGCGATCCCCCAATACATGTGAAGGTGATTTCATCCACTGATCTTATCTACTTCAGCAAAGATCTAAAAATCAACCACTTTCCTCTCCTGTTAGAGACGTTTGACTGATAGACCGGCCCACCAGGTCATGTCTCCATGTTTGCAGTTATCAATAGTCACCCCACTGTTGCCAACCCACTGACGTTTTGCTGCATTTAGCAATATTCAGACAAGACAATCAGTATCGGCCAAAATCAGAATTGACAAGTCAGATTTTTAAAGATTGGCCAGAAATCTGCAATTGACACACTCCTAATGTTCATTTTTTTAGGTCAGAATTCATCCAAATTACCCAATGTTGTTTGTGAAAGAGCTATTAGCAATTGGTGAGCCGCTGATGAGCAAGGTGATGTGCTGCTGTAATGTAATTTAGAAGTGTTTTGTAAAAAGAAAGTTTCTGTGTTACTTTGAAGTGTTTCTGTGTTAAACTTGAGTATCCATTCTCTTTTTTTAGAGTTTTTCTGGGCTCAAACCCTGAACGAGGTCGACTGACGCGACGCAGACGAAGGTGAAGAAGCAGCTTTGCTTTCCACCCAGATGGCTCAAGTTCCTTAATGAACTGAATGACTGGGAATCCATGGAAAATTTGAGCCTTATGAAGTTTAAACGTGATTGATCATCTCATCAAACCTGGTGCACCAAGAACCTTTGCGAAGCACAAGAACTGGTCAGAGAACATTTCAAACTCTTGGTAACTGGACCTAAGAGTTGGATTAACCTTTTTTGGCAGAACATAAACATAAAATGGACTGTTTTGTTTTATGTTCACAGCGACTAGAGGTAATGAGAGCACACACTCATGAATCCAGTGTCTTCCACTGTCGTTGGCATTAGGCTGTGTTTATGTATTTGATTTTTAACTTAATATTTATACCTGTATTTCATAAAAAATAGTGGTTGACTTTCGGCATTTATTTTGAAGTATGTTGGTCCTGTTTACAACTATAATTTTCATGATCCAAAGCAATTTTTGTATGTTCCATCTCATAGTAATTAACAAAATTGTGTATTTGACTTCAAGTCAAGACTGCTTTACATTTAATTTATAAGTTGAAAATTTGTATAGTTAAATGCAATAAATTAGTTGTGATGTATAATGGCAAAGGTTAGTTATAAAGACTAGATGACATGTCAATTTATGGTCTTAAATTGCAAAATAAAGTCTGCAAATTGTTTGTAAAATGAATTTTATATCACTTTGCATGAGCTACTTTCAAACTCTGTTTTGTGTTTTACAACTACATTTTCTGTGGACTTAGAAATTAGTTTTGTTTCAAAGTTATGTTAAGAATATATTAAATACATTAATTTTAATATATTTTACTCTATAATTAATATATGAAGTATTTGGAAATGTCCAAGGTTTTTTAAAAAAGTTTGTGACTATATCAATACAGAGTAAAAAGACAGAGAAGTTCAGTTTTGGGTTAAAATATTAGTAAATTTGACATAAACTGTTAAATTATGGAAGATATTTTGATGGAAATTCTGAAAAAAAAAAAACAAAACAGAAAATGTCCTGGTAACTTTTTGCCAGGATATTTTCAGTTTTTTTACAGAATTTCCCTCAGAAATTTCCTGTAATTTAACAGTATTTTAGTTAAAAAAAAAAATTCCGTAAAAAAACAGGAAAATGTCCTGGTAATTTTCTGCCAGTACATTTCCTGTTTTTTTACGGAATTTCCGGCAGAATTTTTCCGTAATTTAATAGGTTAGAACAAAGAACGGCTCTCCGTGAGGCTTCAGTCTTATAGGACTTGGTCAAGATCCGTCCAAAAGAATCAGATCGTTCCTGAATGTCACATCACTATTTTGCAGACTTTGGTCACAGCGTTGTCCCATATATGCGACATGTCAGTCAACACCTCCACACAATAATTCAGCGCATGAGTGACAACTTTTTTCATCGCAGATACAACATATGTGTCTATGTACAGCTAGCTTTGCTAGCATCACGTCCACAGATCTTACCTTTCTTTAAGCTTTCCTTCCAAGTGACGCTAAAAGTTGGACGAAGTCCCCACCGTTTGTGAAAGCGAAGCGCTGCTGATTTTACATGTCGCCATATCTTATGATTTATGCAGCGCTATTATATTACTGACAATTAGACAGACATTCTCCCGCTCAGAGGAAACCACTGCGCATGTCTAGAGCTCCGCGTGCGAGTAAAGGTGGAGGCATGTGTGACAACAGACACGTAAGTCACGTTATTGGTTGGATTTTACGGCACCACCTTAAGTCCTCGAACTTCACATTTTAACAGACAAAAAGTGCACCGCGACTTTGGATGTAACGAGTAACGCGACAGTTTTGTAGAAATGTAGTGAAGTAGAAAGTACAGATACTTACTGTAAAATGTAGTGCAGTAAAAGTAGGAAGTATCCATTATTAAATCTACTTAAGTAAAGTACACGAAAATTGTACTTAAGTACAGTAATGAAGTACTTATACGTCATTACTTCCCACCACTGAAGGTTACCTTTTTCCTTTTCCAGTTCTCGTTTCCACTTATTGAGTTCCTCGTCTTTTTCACCAAGTCTGAACTTTAACTGCTTTTCTTTCTCTTCTTCTTGTTTTATTTGCTCGGTCAGTTTATTGATCCTGTCTGTGTAAGCAACAAAAGACACAAACATTAATACAGCAGAAAAGAAAATATGCCTCCTTGATTTAACCCATTCATATTAAATTACATCAGTATTTTTCTTTTGGCAGAACAAATTTAGTTCTTCTGCTGAATCATCAATAAACTGTTACAATCCCAGGATCATTTGTAACTCATTTATCCCTAACATTAAATATGTTAACTTTTCTCTAAGGTTACCTTTTTCCTTTTCCAGATCTTGTTTCCACTTACTTTTCTCCAAGGTTACTGTTACATGCCTGCCAGGCTGTTTGTTTCTCCTTCCCCTCCCCCTTTTGTTTGTCTCTTCACAGGTAGTATGGAAGTAGGGGAAGCTGGTATCAGTCTCCCCTGATTGATCCTCGTCAACCATGTCCCAATCAGCATCCAGGGAGGCCTTATATAAGCAGCCCAGCTGGGGAGCTGAAAAGGGGGGAGGCTCTCCAACTGGCTCTGGGACCTGACGCATGTCTTGTTGCTCTTTGTGTGAAGGTTTGTGGTGGGAGTTAGAGGGCGAGTTAAGTTTGGGGTACCCTGTACATTTCATCACGTAGGTGTTTTCTGTTAGATACATTAGGTAAGAAGGTGGTGCCACCCATGTAAAGTTTTGGTGGAAACTTTTTGTTAGATTAGGTAGGCAGGGTTTTTGTTTTCTATTTCTTTAGAACAGACGATAGTTAGGCCCCGTTTTGTTTGTTATTTTCATTGATCTGGCACCACCTAACCGTCCCTTTCTCCCCCACAGTTTGTACAAGCCTTCTGGGATTTTCATTGTCAATAAATCCCTTCTTTTAAAACATTCACTTGGACTCTGTCAAGTTTTTATGGTTGTCGTGTTACTCCCCTCCTCCTCACAAAGGGGGGGGCCGTAACACAAGTGGGGGCTCGTCCGGGATCTCACCATTTTCCCTGAGCTGTAGACATCCATAATAATTTGAGAGATCCTTGTGTCTGTTTAGAAATGAGCTTCAGCTTGGAGGATTTTGTACAGGCTCCTAGCCATGAACAGCTGGAACTGTGTCGTAAGGACGACTTGTTATGTCTGGCTGAGCATTTTGACATTTCAGTGAAAAAACACTTTTCAAAAGCTGAAATTAAGAACATTGTTGTTCAAAAGCTGGTTGAGATTAAAGTCCTAGCTGACTCAAGCAAAATGGATGTAGATGTTTGTGATTATCCTTTTGTTGATCTAGAACTCTCTCCTTCAAAAGATGAAGGAGTTGCTGTAATGGCAACGCCACCAAGGGGGTTGGGAGAGCCACAGGTGCCCCCTGCGACTTTACCACGGTTTGATCCAGTGTCACCAGAACTCAGTGGCTCCAGTGGTAATGTCAGACTCAAGGTTCGGCTGGCTCGCCTACAGCTGGAGGCACAGGAGAGGGAGGTGGTAAGAAAAGCTGAGTTTGATTTCAAACTTGAAATGCGCAAGTTGGAAATTGAAGCTGAGAAAGCGATTAAGCTGAAACAGCTTGAGGTAGAAGCTATGAGACTTTCACGTGGCAACTCGCCTCCTCGTTCATCTGTGTACTCTGATTCTCCACAGGTGGTGTCAGACAAAAACAAGTTTGATGTCAGCAAGAATATTGCTTTGGTGCCTGCGTTTAGGGAGTCGGAAGTGGATTCTTACTTCAATGCATTTGAGAGGATTGCTGTGGCACTGGAGTGGCCAAAGGAGATGTGGGCTGTTCTATTGCAGTGCAAGCTCATGGGTAAAGCACAGGAGGTTGTTTCATCACTGTCAACAGAAGAGGGCATGAAGTATGAGGTACTGAAAAAGTCAATCTTGCGTGCTTATGAACTTGTACCTGAAGCTTACAGGCAAAAATTCAGGAACCATAAGAGGTCTAGTGGCCAGACCTATGTGGAGTTTGCACGTGAGAAGGGACTACTTTTTGATAAATGGTGTGCTGCAAGTGAGGTTAAAGGTGACTTTGAATCCCTTCGCCAACTAATTCTGTTGGAAGACTTCAAGAACACATTGCCTGAGAGACTGGTGGTTTTCTTGAATGAGCAAAAGGTGGCCTCTTTATCTAAAGCAGCCATTGTCGCTGATGAGTTTATGTTGACACACAAGAATGTATTTGTGTCTGTACCTCGTGCAGATAAAGTTTTGAACATTCGTCAACAAAAACCTGACCCCACTCAGTCAGAAGCTAAGGTTAAGCAGCAATCTCTTTCTCCACGTGAGGTAAGGGAGTGCTTTTACTGTCATAAAAAAGGCCATGTTATTGCTGACTGCCTTTCATTAAAGAGCAAGGCTTTGGCAACACAGACAAAAGGTGTTGGGTTGCTTAAAAATGCGTCGCACTCCAGCAACCAAACTGCTAAAAATGAGAATGAACTAGATCCCTGTTTCATACCTTTTGTTACCCAGGGTCTTGTTTCTTTAACAGGGGATCCAAAGGATGGCCGACAAGTCAAAATCCTGAGGGACACAGGTGGTTCCCAGACAATCATTCGGGAGGGTATTTTATCTTTGCCTGTTATGTCACCTTGTCAGTCCAAAGTGGTTGTTCAAGGTATTGGAATGACTTTTGTATCTGCACCACTGCATAATATCCACCTTAACTCATCTCTTGTGAGTGGTTTTTGCAGGGTTGCTGTTCTTCCCACCTTGCCCATAAAGGGGATTGATCTTATTCTAGGGAATGACTTGGCAGGTGGAAAAGTATTACCTGTGCCTGAGGTATTGGACACACCTGACACAAGTGTGGTCTTTGAACCAATGCCTGACGTTTTCCCTGCTTGTGTGGTTACGCGGGCCCAGTCAAAGAAATACAGTCTTGATTTGTCTGACTCTTTTCTTGCTACAGAGCAGACTCAATCAGTTGGATCAGAGACTGAACTCAACAAATCTAAAAATGTATTTCCTCTTCCAGGTCCAGAGATGATGAAATTACCAGCTTCCAGGGAGGAATTCATTGCTGCTCAAAAACAGGATATGACTCTGTTGAAATGTCATTCTTCTGTTCTTACCCAGGAGGAAGGTGGCATATGTGTTTGATGATGGTCTCCTGTTGCGACGCTGGGCTGGTGAAAACTTGGAAGACTGGAGTACCATTTATCAGGTGGTTGTGCCAACAAGGTACCGCATGCAGGTGCTAGCATTAGCACACGATCACCCACTGTCGGGGCATCTGGGTATAAATAAAACTTATAACAAAGTTCTCAACCACTTCTTTTGGCCAGGTCTCAAATCTGATGTTTCACTTTATTGTCGTACTTGCCATGTCTGCCAAGTTGCAGGCAAGCCAAACCAGGTTATACCTCCTGCTCCTTTGTCCCCAATTCCAGTTGTGGGTGAACCATTTGGAAGGGTGATTGTAGATTGTGTGGGGCCTTTGCCAAAGTCTAGAAGTGGAAACCAGTTCATCTTGACTATAATGTGTGCCATGCCCCGGCGGAGGATCACAGCCCCCATGGTCACCAAAGCTCTGGTAAAGTTCTTCTCAGTGTTTGGTCTTCCCAAAGTTGTCCAAACAGACCAGGGCACAAACTTTAAGTCTAGAACCTTTGCCCAGGCACTAAAACAGTTGGGTGTAGAGCATGTCACCTCGAGCTCTTACCATCCTGAAAGCCAAGGTGCACTTGAAAGGTTTCACCAGACATTAAAAGCGATGCTGAGAAAATACTGTATGGATACAGAGAAGGACTGGGATGAAGGTATCCCATTTCTATTGTTTGCTGTGCGTGGAACAGTGCAGGACTTGTGTTTGGACATGAGGTTAGGGGACCTTTAAATGTCCTTAAAGACCAACTAATCTCACTCTCTCGCTCTGTAAAGAGCATTCCAGAGTATGTTTCAAAGATGAGAGAGCGCCTTCAGGCAGCTTGCGCTCTTGCGCAGAAAGCCTTGGCTTCAAAGCAGGTCAAAATGAAGCAACATTATGACAGGAAAGCAGTCACTCGTGAGTTCAACCCTGGTGATAAGGTTTTGATCTTGCTGCCCATCCCTGGCTCTTCTTTAGAAACAAAATTCTCTGGACCGTATGTGGTAGAAAAGAAACTTAGTGAAACAAACTACATTGTTCAAACTCCTGATCGCCGCCGCAAGACCAGGCTTTGTCATGTCAATATGATAAAACTGTATCATTCAAGAGAGACCGACCAACCAACCCAGAATCGGGTTGAAGCCATTTCCCCTGTAACCTGTGTGTCAAAGTCAGCTGAGGAGGATATGGTAACACGCAAAGATCCTCCACAAGTTGCAAGGCTTAGTAATAGTGAAATACTGGCTAACCTGCCTGACTGTCACATTTATCAGGTGACCAAGTGGAGGACATCACAAAACTCATATCAGACTTCCAATGTCTGTTTGGGGATGTTCCTACCAAGACTAATGTGGTGTCTCATGACATTGTTCTTTCCAATCCTGCACCTATAAAGCAGCGAGCATACCGTGTCAATGCCACAAAGAGGGAGGTCATGAAAAAAGAAGTGGAGTACCTTGTTAAAAATGGACTCGCCATTCAAAGTTGCAGCCCATGGAGTTCTCCATGTCTATTAGACATGAAGGCTGATGGAAGTCCAAGGTTCTGCACAGACTTTCGTAAGGTGAATGCTGTCACAGTCCTTGATGCACACCCGTTACCCCTCATTGAAGACTGTATTGATGAAATCGGACCAGCAAAATTTGTCACTAAACTTGACATGCTGAAAGGGAATTGGCAAGTACCTCTAACCACACAGGCCTCTGATATCTCAGCTTTTGTTACACCAGACTGTTTTCTTCAGTACACAGTGATGCCTTTTGGGCTATGTAATGCACTGGCTACATTTCAAAGGCTTGTAAATAGAGTACTGGGAGATGTGCCAAACTGCCGGGTATATCTAGATGACATTGTGGTATATTCAAATGACTGGCCCCCATCTTTCTGTTTTGCTTGAGGTCTTCAAATGTCTTTCAGCTGCCTCACTGACCCTCAATCTTTCAAAGTGCGAGTTTGGTAAAGGTACCATTGTCTATCTGGGCCAACAGGTTGGTGGAGGAAAAGTGTGTCCTGTGGATGCAAAAGTCAAAGTAATTTCTGACTTTCCTGTTCCTTCAAGCAGGAGGGAGCTGCGTCGATTCCTGGGGATGGCAGGATTCTACCGTCGCTTTTGTAAAAACTTTTCTACGGTAGCTGCTCCTTTAACAACTTTGGCCATCCCTTCTACACCTTTTACTTGGTCTGATGAATGTCAGCATGCTTTTGAACATCTAAAAGGATTGCTCTCCTGTTCTTTCCGCCCCAAATTTTAGTCTGCCATTTAAACTGGACATAGATGCCAGTGCTGTTGGGGTAGGAGCTGTCCTTCTGCAGGATGACAAAAGATGGCATAGAGCATCCTGTGAGCTACTTCTCAAGGAAGTTTAATCTTCATCAAAGTAGATATTCTACCATTGAAAAGGAAGCGCTTGCACTACTCTTGGCATTACAGCATTTTGAAGTTTACCTTGGCTTGAGTGTGGAACCAGTCACTGTCTTCACAGACCATAACCCACTTGTCTTTCTTTCCAGGATGTACAATCAAAATCAAAGACTTATGCAGTGGGCTTTGATCATTCAGGAGTACAACCTCAAGATCTGCCATAATAAAGGGTCTGAGAATGTGCTGGCAGATGCTTTGTCACGTGCATTTGGAGTCGTTTTTTTGTTACTGTGAGCACTCCAAACATTTTTTTGTTTGGACTTATAAGGGTGGGGGTGTTACATGCCTGCCAGGCTGTTTGTTTCTCCTTCTCCAGAAAAGAAAATATTCCTCTTTGATTTAACCCATTCATATTAAATTACATCAGTATTTTTCTTTTGGCAGAACAAATTTAGCTCTTCTGATGAATCACCAATAAACTGTTAAAATCCCTGATTCTTTCTTTTGTAACTAATTCATCTATAACATTAAATATTTAACCTTTTTCTCTGAGTTTACCTTTTTCCTTTTCACCTTTTATTCCATGTTTTCAGTTTATCCCATGTTTCTGTCAGCAGCTCTTCAATAAAATCCTGATTGAAGATCTGCATGAAAAATAGTTTTCCTGTCTACAGATTGATCAGATTCATGCTGAATCGATTGTATTCTAATCATATGTTATTGTATTTCTCCTGATTTGTTTCTAGTCTTTTCAATTCATAGAAGGAAACCTGCTGCCTTTTGTGTCCAGTGGGGCTCAGTACTGCCCCCTATCAGTACTTTCTGCCTCATCTATGTATTTATGACCAATCTGAAGGTAATTAAAATTGGATTTTATTTTGAGGTATTGCAGTAAAGAGGCTGAATACAGATAGCACTATTGGTCATGTTACTTTAAGTTATTCAATAATTTAGTCTCAAGTTTTTGGTTTTCCAGTTCCTGCTTCTCTTCGTTCAGCTCACTAAATGACGTCTTTGGTTTATTTTCTAGTTGATCTGTTTCACTCTGCTGATTTATATTCTCACCTGTTTTGGGAAACAATCTAGAGATTATATAGAAATTCAGTGCAAAACAGCCATCAGTCCAATGAACCCATTTGTAATTTCTTGATAAAGTTAGAAAGTTAATCAAGCAACAATTTCACCACCCAGATCAAAAAGTTGGTTACTGCTATAAACAAATGATGGGTTTCTTTCCTCAACTAATTCTTCTTTAATTCGTTAATCTTTTACATCAAATGTTTCTCTTTCTCATATAATCTCACCTGATTTACTGGTTGTCTCAGTTTGTCTATTTTCCTTTTCTGCAGGACTCCTGGTGTTAAGAAGAGACTCTGACTGATCACAGTTTGACTCGATGTCTTGGTGCCTCGTCTGTCTTGACTTCTTATCTGTCATGTAAGAACAATAACATAATGAGATAAATATGTCATTGCATTGCTAAAAAGCTAACAATGTTTGTTTTTAAATTTAACTAAATTAAAAATATATATTTTAACTTTAGCAAAAACACTACAGTAAAATAACAAATAACGGTGCAATAACTGTAACTTACAACATAATATGTAATATGTTCTGTTATATATTTCGACTGATTTAATGATGAAAAGGAGTCGGGTGGATTGTTCAGATGAACTTTAGTGGATAAAGAATGAACGAATCATACTAATACATGACAGAGTCGGAACTCAGCAAACATGCTAACAGCTCTTTTTCAGAGGGAGAAACTCTTCTTCTAACTCCAGGTTCCTACTCTACTAGTTCCAGAGCATCATGGGATACTCGGTCCACTTTCGAACCAGATACTATCAAATGCCAACCAAATAACTGCAACTCAAATAGTTATATTAAATTAAAATATCTCAAATAATAAGTCCTAAGCAGATTCTAGTTAAACCCAAAACAAATTCTCAACATATCCTGGCAAAAGCTATGCCCATTAAAACACCGATAGCGATTCCAACAGCTCCGCCTGTCAGGGCCCATTTCAAATCGCTGCTTTGGTCCATTTCAGCTGAAGTATCGTCTGGAGAGAAGTTAAACTGAGAGGTTGGTAAACATATGTCACACTGTGGAAATTTGTTATTTTTTTAAGTGTGGTTTTTATTGTTGAATGTTTTTGCTGCATGTTTTGTTTTTTTTATTCACTGTGGACTCTGGGAATTGAGAGCTGATGCCAGTCACCTGTGTGGGGTGGGCGTGCCCGTAGGCAGTGTACCGGGAACCTGCAAGACGCTGGCAGTAGATTTAAAAAGAGAGGACTTCGCGTTGAAAAGGAGGAAATAAAAAAAGAAAAGGAGGAATCCAGGAAGGTTCGTGACGGAGGACTGCGACCCCGAACGAGCCAGTGATTGACAGCAGAGGATACAACCAGTGGGAACGACGTGTCAGACCATTAGTGGGCAGAGGGGAACTCTGCCCTGGTCAGTAAGTAACGTTTCCGCTGATTGTCTGCAGGGATCCTTGCTGGGACAGATAAAACATCCGCTGTTAAGCGATCGCTCTCCTGGCCAGGTGTTTTTGTCCCAACAGGACGCCAGCGGGGCGACACTTTACGGGGAGCAACTAGAGTGGGCTGGAACGACCACAGGAGGCGGTGGCGCTGGGACTGCGACTACAGACTGGACGCAGTGCAGGATTCGCCGTCATAACTGGATTTCGTGGATGTTGGCCCTCTTGGACAATTTTAGTTTACTTTGTTTAGAACATTTTAATACTTTTATTTCCATTTGTCACTAAGAGAAAACGGAGTATTTTATTCTGTTGGGGAATAAAAGAAAAAGAAAAAAACTAACTAATTGGATTGTCCTCCCTTGGTGCTGTGCTACTGTCTCCCTCCTTGTTTGAGAACCCGGGGCTACCAGCTGAAGTTAAGCTGAGCACAACCTGAAAATTTTAAAAAAGAAAAATTCAGTTCATATTTCAAATGAGTTGAAAGATTTGAAAATGTTATATTTACCAAACAAGAACCTTCTCAGGTTCTTGTTTGGGTTCTTGTTTCATCTTTTCAATAACCTCCTGCTGTTCCTCCTGTGACATAACAATGAGCTCTTCTTGGTTTGACTAAAAAATAATGTGAATGAGGAGAAGAGTGACAACAAGGAGTGGGAAATGTTCACTCAACATGAAAGAATATGTCTAGATAAGTTCATCTCTTTCAATTTAGTTCACAATATTAAAGAAAAACTCAATTCAAATTTCAAAACGAATTGAAAGATTTCCATCCCTCCATCCTCTTCACACCATTGTCCGTACTGGGGTCGGCAGGGTTGCTGGTGCCTCTCCAGCGAACGTTTTGGGTGAGAGGCAGGGTCACCTGGACTAACCCTGCCTGGACCCTAGACCTGGATCTGAAATATTTTCTAATCTTTCAATCGAGTTTGAAAATTTGAAAATGTTATATTTACATACCTTCTCAGGTTCTGGTTTGGGTTCTTGTTTCACCTTTTCAATAACCTCCTGATGTTCCTCCTCTGATGATGGTGACATAAGGCTGAGATCTTGGTTTGTCACATCTTTTGGATAATAGTCTTAAGAAATCAATGTAAAAAAAATCTGAATTTTAGAACGAATATGAGTAAAAATTAAATGCATTCCAGGCCGACATATTTTTAAGATTTATTTATATATAATACACACACGCACACACACACACACACACACACACGAGGCAGCAGGACTTACATGTGAATATGCTCACAGTCAGGAAAATGGAAATGGTTTTATACAACATGATGATCTGCGATGGTAAAAACTGTTGTAACCTGAAAACAAAACCAGTAAATTTAACTTTCTAAAATGTTTCTGGAATCTGGTAATCGTCTTTAGAGATGTATGTTTCTGAATTTCTTAATATTTAATAGAATCACTGCATTGGACAACAACTTAATAATGTTAGCAAATTTTCAATTTCATTTTAACACCCTGCAATTTAAATAATGAATATAATATATATATATATAACTGGTGAAAGGTTATGAACCAAAATGACTGTCATCTGTTGAAACGAGGCGACACTTTTACCTTTGATATGATCAACTATGGGTTCTTTCTAACCCCATTCCTTTGCTTTCTAGCAGAACGCCTCTTGTTATGTCTTAATCTGCTTTATTTAATATATATATGTATA